CCACTTTGGGAACTCCCATTTTGGTCCAGTTGGGAATCAGGCAGAAGCCCTGTCTGATTCAAGCTTGGCCCTTGGGTATTTCTGGCTGCACCACAAAGCAGAGTACTAAGCCCCATCCAACTTCCAGCTTTCCTCAGATTAGAGCCTGGCTCCTGGAACTGGTAAGCATTGCCCATTGCAATCCTGTAACTGCTAGCCACTACCACCTTTTTCATACTTTAGTCTCTCTCTCTATGTGTGCAAATTCTTTGTGTGAATGTTGACATCCCTCTTGTTGTTCAAATAATAACACTGAGTTTTACTTAGCACTCTGGAGTTCTAGTTTTTTGGCAATGGTAGACATAGGCTTGTATCCAAGCAAGAGTTACCATGGACCTTCCACTGCTAGAATATTGGGCTAAATTAATTTCTTCATTGAATGGAATTTGTGGGTGCCCTCCTGGGGCCCTAGGTTTTTTGAGTAACAAAGTACATGCTCATCATTTATAACAACCCTTTTTAATATTGTTCACCAGGCCAGTCTTTGGACTTTTGGGGCAGAATCCAGCCACTGCCACTTCCCTGTATACATTCTTGTGAGGCTTGAAGTGGGGGAAATTATATTATTACGGTAATGTGGTATTCCGATACACATCCTAGAAGGGATTCCTGGGCACAGGGCACCATTTGCAAAGCATCATTATGCACCTTCTAGCTCTACCACAGCCAGCTGTTCAACAAATGTCACAGAGGAGCAGTATGTGGCAAAAGAGCCCCCAAGGTATCAACATCTCCAAGATGGCACACAGGCACCAGTGACCCATGATGCCACCTGTAGTCAGAATATGGGCTGCTAGTGGCATCATGTACCCAGCTAGCCATTCTGTGAGCAGGCTGGTGTGTAGTACAGATTGGCTCTAGCAATGGGCACTATTAGCAAAAAACAGAAGTTCAAAGCCTTCTTGGTGGCTGCTCCCAAGTTATGGAGCAACTCCCTTCTTGCTGTCTTTCTGCTGACAGGTAAAGATCTTTTTATTTAAGGAAGCTTTGAATGTTATCGCATTGCAGCAGATGAAGCTTTTAACGGGGCTGTAATGTTTTCTATTTATGTTTTAAGCATCTTTTAATGCTGTTGCAACTTAATTTTAACTTGTATGTTTTAAACAGAAATTTATTTTTAATTGTGTTTCAACTTTTGTATTAAAAGAGTTTTTAAAAAACTGTATTGTGCTTTTAAAACACTGTATGCTGCTTTGGTTCCAATGCTGAAAGGAAGGCAGGATAGAAGTTAAAGAAAAGAAAACAAAGTGGAAGAGAAGGAAACATGGCTACTTTACGCAGGCATCTATTTCAGCATCTCTCTGAAAATGATGTTCGTTTTAAACCTGTACCATACTGTATAGCGGTAGCAGATTGGTGTGAAAATATATCATACCATGCCTTCTAATGCCAAAAATAAATCTGCCCATTATCAGTAGTAATACATATGTAAGTATGAGACCACATCCCGTATGAGAGCAAATCCCATATGCATTTCTTTCCAGTTAATCCTAGCAATATATCTGAAAGCAAATGAATTTGACAAGATGCCACTGTACAGTATTTCATTTTACCCAGCCTGGAGCCTTCCCATATGTTGGACTACAACTCCTGCCAAGAGTTATGCTGGGTGGCGCTGCTGGGTATTGTAATCCCAGCAGGGGTGAGGGACCAGGCTGGGCAAGGCTTCTACATTGTCAGTCTAAAGTCCAATCCACACTGAAGGAATAATCCAATTTGGGGCTGCTTTAACTGCCCAGGCTCAATGTCAGGGAATTCTGGGAATTGTAGTTTTGTGAGATATTTAGCCTTCTTTGTCAGAAAGCTCTGGTGCCACAATAAACTACAATTCCCATGATTCCCTAGGACCGGGGGCAGTTCAAGCAGTCTCAAACTGGATTACTTCTGCCGTGTGTTTTGGACCTTAGTTCTGTTGGTGGTAATAATGGTATTCTAGTAGTATTAATAGTGCTTATACAAAGGGAAAGCGTAGAACTAATCATAAACATATTAGTCCTGGCAAAGTCAACTGAATTTATATTCCACTTAAACCAGTGACTTAAATCCCAGTGAGGTCAATGGGAACTAGTATCCAGAGACAGCCTTGTTAGCCTGTTTTAGCATAAAAGGACATGAAGGGATCCAGTGGCACCTCTGAGATTAAATAGGAAAATGAATTTATAGCATAGATTTCTGTGAATACAGTCCACTTTGCATGAAGTGACCGTTCAAGATTATGCTCAAATTTTCTTCTTCCCAGTTAGTCTGAAGTATTGGATTTCTTTATGTCTTCTTACAGCGGGAACCAAGCTCACCTTACCTTGGATGCACACCAATTTAGGAAAATATGCTCGCCCTACTTACTACCAAGAAAGTCCACTTTGGGTCAGAGTGTTAGAGTCACTGGTGGAAATAATAATAATAATAATAATAATAATAATAATAATAATAATAATAATAATAATAATAAATTTATATTTCTCGCCTCTCCCTACGGATCGAGGCGGGATTACACAATAAAATGAATACAATATGCAAAATACAAACAATAAAATAGTAAAATCAAAGAATAAATCTGACCCTGGAGCTAAAAGGGTAGGCAACCTTTTCCCCTTTAAGGGCTGAGGGACTTCAGCTCCCAGAATCCCAGGAGCTATTGGCCAACATGGGACTATTGGCCAACATGGCTGAGGCTTCTGGGAGCTGAAGTCCCTCGGCCCTTAAAGGGGACTCAAGTTTTGCTCTCATTCTGTAAAATGTGATGCTGAGCAATCGCTAGCCTATGGGTTGGACCCAGAGAGAACCCACTGAAACCAACAGCAGCAGTAATATCTAATGGTTAAGCCCCTATTAATTTCATTGGGTCTGCTCTTAAGGATTGAGCAGGGGTAGGCAACCTTTCCCCTTTAAGGGCCGAGGGACTTCAGTTCCCAGAAGCCTCAGCCATGTTGGCCAATAGTCCCATGTTGGCCAACAGCTCCTGGGATTCTGGGAGCTGAAGTCCCTCGGCCCTTAAAGGGGAAAGGTTGCCCACCCCTGCACCAGAGCAAATGCTAAAAATCCCAACAATTTATAGGGGTGGATTGAGAATTAAGTCATTAGAGCTTCTTCTTCTTTTCCTTGTGTGTCCTCCCAGTCATTTTTGACTGACGGCAACCCTATCATGGGGCTTTCTTGAGAGGGGGTTTGCCATGGCCATCCTCTGAAGCTGAGAGAGTGTGACCTGGATTATTTCTTCACTATGGATGCAGCCTACAGACACTGCAGCACGAGGCGCTAGTAATGGAACTGAAATGCAATTCCAACTTACGATTCCTCTCCTTTTCGTAGGATGTCATCACTCATCCATTGCTGATGCATTATTGTTATACTGTTATTATTGTGCAGTTTCGCATTGAAGGTTATCTCTCGTTAATGCGAAATTACACCGTAATAACGGTATAACAACGGATCTGCAACGGATGAGTGGCGACACTGTGCAAAAAGGAGAGGAATCAATGGAGTTTATCACATGGGGAAGAATCCCGTAGAGAAACTAGATTTAAAGTGAAAACAACCCGCTATTGTGGGGTTTCTTTGGATTTTTAAATTCCGTATCTGCATAGATTTAAGCAATTTGCCTCCGTGTGATAAGGTCCTATATAGGTTGTAATTCCACTTCAATTCCATCACTAGCAACTCGTGCGGTAAGCTCTGGAGACTAGGGTTCGAATCCCAGCTCAGCCATGGAAACCCACTGGTTGACCCTGGATGAGTCACACTCTCTCAGCCTCAGAGGATAGCCATGGCAAACCCTCTCTGAAGGAACTTACCCAGAAAACCCCCATGATAGGGTCGCCACAAGTCAAAAATGACTGGGAGGACAAATAACAAGAAGAAGCTCTAGTGGCTAATTCTCATTTCAGCCCTATAAATTGTTGGGATGTTTAGCATTTGCTAATTTAGAAAGAAAAAAGACAAACATGAAGTACAA